GGGGTAAAAGTTTGAAAATACATGTATTTTACTAGATGACTTAAATCCAAAAGTAGATTACATGAATGACATCAAAAAATGTAAAAGGTAAAAAAAAAAATATATAACTTTAATTTATGTCCATTATCTTTTTATTTGATCCACTAACTTTTATTATTATTATTAGCTTTTGTCTAACCTCAACTATTTGCCTCTAAATAAAAGAAGGAAAACAAAATGTTACTTTAATTTATTTCCATAAATCCGTTATTTTCGTACTTCAAAATAAAAGCATGCAGTCTGTATGAGCTGCGATCTATCTTAATAATAAGAGATAAGAAATATGCATTTGATATTTATAGTATTTATTTGCGGCAGATGAAGCACTTCAATACTTCTATCACATATTTTACATTGGTTGATATTTGGATTTAGATAAAATTTATTTTGCAGCCCTATCTAGAACATATTATACATTCAAGCAGGTGAAAAAAACCTATACATTCGAAAGGTATTAAAGTGCACCTATCATGCAATTTGTAGGCATATATTATGGGTCTCAGATATATAAGAACATATAAAAACACGTCTATGATGTGTTTTGCTCAAAATACAAACAGATCATGCATTTTAGACATCCCTCAAACCCCTCTGTTTCAGCCCTGTTAGAGAAACCCGGATTTTGGGTTCTAAGCTAAAAAAGAAATAAAAGAAGAGGCGGAGCTAATGCCTGATCAGAATTCTACCGGAGATTAAGTTAAATTCTGCTGTGATAAAACGCCATCCTGTTCTAAACCACATCAAGGATTATTTCTGAAACAGTATGGAGCTCAAATGCTTTTTCTCTTGCGGGTTTATCACAAAGTGAGTTCCTTTTTATTTCCTGCTTTTTAAAACACACATGTGCTCTCCAGCACAGGTTAGCTCTGAGTGTTAGCGAGGCTTGCTAATGTAAACAAAGACGAGATTAAGTCAAAAACACGTTAGGCATTGTTTCTGATAGCAACTCTCTGTGGGTCCACCATCCGAAATTACGTAATATCGGTAGTAAATCTGTATCCACTTGTTGTACCCCCGTTTTTAAAAGATGTGGGTACGGAGGAAAAGAGAAAGGGTTTTATTTACTGACGCTGCGTGAGTTCCCTGACGCAACGTGGACACATATTTATGTATAAAAGACGTCAAAAAGTGCATTTTGCATGATACAAAAATCATTTTACATTCTCTTTTCAAGCTGTTACAGCAAAACTGTCCTCATGCCCCCATGACTGACAGACATTTGACAAGGTGAATGCTATAAAGAGTGTGTTTTGACCCGCCTGACACACACACATAATTAATTACAGCCTCACAGCTCCTGCCTGCTGTCATCTGAAATACCTTTAATTGACTTTCACAGCGTTTTCCCATCATGCATTATGCTCCGGAGCAGCAGGAGATGTTTAATTGCCGCTCACCGTGAAAACCTCTCTGTGCAGAAAAGGACATTTTCAACATGTCGGGGGGGGGAATTTACAGCCTCAGCATAATGGAGGAGACTCTGATCCACTGCACGGTCGTGCATTTAAAATGGATCCTGACCAGCACGTTTACGGGAAACATGTGGACACCTGAGAGTAAAACCAAGAGAGCAGGGAGGGAGTATATAAATATTTTTGGAGCATTGGGCGGAGGCAGTTTGCTGTCGGAGTGATTAACTGTCTCTGATTCTCAAAGCTTTCTGATCCAATTTCATCCGCTGCAGGTAAATGTTTCTGCATTTGAGTGAGAAAAAGCAGCACAGAGAGAGAGAAGCCTTTCCAAGTGATGAAATCTTACAATTACACCGGTTAGTTGAACACTTGATTCTGATTGGTCGATTATGACATTCTGGAGGACTGTTATTTTTACTGTTGCCTAGGAGGATCAAGGGACTATGTGCAGTCATATCAATCCGCAGAAAGAGGTCCCGGTCGTTTAACGTCAGCGGTGGACAGCAGGCGATTGTTTTTTTTCAGTCAGAAAACTGAGTTTCCTTCTTACCCAGGTTTTGGTCTCTATGCCCAGGTGCACCAGTATGGTGAATAAAGCCAGGGAGGTGATGGGAGTTCCCCACGTAAACAAATCCACATCAGAGTCAGCGTAGGCCTGAGGAGAAGGAGAAGGAGGAGCAGGACGAGAAGTGATGAGTCAGTCCAAGCAGATAAACAATCAGAAGTAAAGTTATGGATTTATAATGAAAATTAGACTCACAAAGTAGGGGATGAAGAAGCAGACCAGGCTCTGATAGAAGGCATCGATCATATTCATCCAGAACATATATGGCTTGTATTCCTGTCACAATAAAACAACAAAATGTAAAACCGAAACTCAGCAATGTGAACGACATTATATTCAGACCAAGGTTATATAGATCTATATAGTTCTACATGATAACACCAACCATTTAAATACTTCAACACACCGGATGAGAAACACTTCTTCCTTTCACCGTTAGCTTCTTTAAACAGATATGTGACCTGCTCTTTCGAAATCAGTCGCATTGACCCGAAGACACATTTTGAGTTGTATACACTGCTGGAAAGAGGATATTCCTAGCTTTCTAATGATATCAGGATTGTTTTTGTACTCTAAATATTAAGCGAAATATGTCACATTATATAATGACTATTACAGAGTCATTATTTTGAGAATAAGGCCTTTAAAGTTTCCTCTTCTCTGGAATCCATCGATCTGATTGGTTATTAGCAAATGATCAAAATACTACGGAGGGAAGATATTTTCGTTTGGATTACTGGTCTGGGAGAAGCTCGCGAGTGTGTGTGTGTGTGTGTGTATACGTGTGTGTGTGTTTGTGTAATTTTGCGTTTGTGTGTTTTGCGTTTGTTTCCCGGGGAAAACCCTCACGAGAAACACCGGCTGTTGTTATGCCTGCTGTGACGTTAAGTTACTCCGTTTTCCGCTTGTAATTATGCCGTTACAAGCTTCAAAGTTGTATTTATCATCTGAATTTGCCGAAACAAGTTTAATATTCTGAAAGCCAAGACTTTGTTTATTTGAAATCAGATGATACAAACTGTAACGGACCCTGCCGTGTTATTTATGATTACTCTACGCTTACATTCATAATGTCAGCGGGAGGGAGGGAGGGCGGGGCTGCGGAAGAGCAGATTGCCTGTCATCTTCCCTTTACAAGCTTAAAGAATGTATTTATCGTGTGAGTTTGGAAATAAAAGTTTCATATTCTGAAAGGCAAGACTTTGTTTGTTTAAAATCAAACAAAACACCCGAACCCCGAAAAAATTGTTTTTTACGCAAATCCACGTTTTACTTCCGACTGATTTCGATAGAGCGGGTCACATACACACTCTATGCTTTAACCACAGATATTTTCAAAATAAAAGCGCACGGACCTCAGAGTTCTGCCCGTTGACGTAGAGCTGAGGTAGTTGTTGCAGAGTCTCTGCAGACACGTCTTTGTCCAGCGTGCCGGTGATGAGCTGAGGGAAGGCGGAGAACATGAGGTTGAAGAAGATCAGGTACCACTGATCGACCATGGCCGACCCGGAGAACCCGCAGTAGAACTGATACCAGAAGATCAGCGCCACGAACATCTGGGGACAAAACATAACGGAGGGAGATCAATTATTCACTTTATTTTGGTTTACATTTTTATTGCCACTTTGAATCTCAAGCCAAAGACATTTAGAAATGTGTTTTTCCCTAAAAAGGAAAATATACAATACAAATAATTAGCAGATAATGCAGATAACATACAATATTAAGGTAAAACAATTAATTCTGTATATTATTATATGATGCACTCAATAGACACTATTTTTATTGGTTAATATGTTTATATTTACTGTTAATGTTTATTTATTTTTTTATTACATTTTATTTTTTATAATTTTGATTTTAAGAAGATATGTATAAATATCAATCCAGAATCTTGTTTATTTATTTACAGTATTTTATACTAATTCTTTTATATGTTTCACTCAAGTTAACATGCTGCTGTAACAAAACAATCTCTTCAAAGCAAGGTTTTTTTTAGCCACTGTTTTTGGGAGTTTATCCAGAAGACAGAAGATGTATGTTTAGCTAGAAGATCATTTGTTTTAGTTTTTCTTGGTGTTATTAAGAGTTTTGGACTTTCTGGTAGTTTAACTGAAACTATCTTATTCACATATTTGTATTAAAGTGGACCTATCATGCTATTTTTAGGCATTAGCATAGGTCTCAGACATATACAAATAAATAAAAAACATGTCTATGAAGTGTTTTGCTCAAAATACCAAACAGATCACCCATTCTAGCCATGCCTCAGATCCCTCTATTTCACTTCCTGTTTCAAAGAGCTAAAGCTAAAGCTTTTAAAAAATAAATAAATAGATTTAAAAAAAGGAGGGGGCGGAGCTCATGCGGGACCCGGCAGCTACTGTCTAAACTAAATACTGCCGTGATGAAACGCCATATCATGGATTATCAAGGATTATTTCTGAAACAGTATGGAGCTCAAAGGCTTTCTCTCTTGCNCACTCTGTTTTGAGATCAAAGCACTCTAGACTTAACAAGCTGCTCCATCCACTGTAATGTTAAAATCTGAAAAAGGCCTCTCTACCAAGCTCCAAACTAAGTTCAATATCTCAAAACGCTTAAAAGATTTCAAAAATCTTGTATACAAGTTTTATAGCTGACGGTATTGTGATCATTTAAAAGTTGGAATGAAGTGTCTGGCTGAAATTATGTGGAAGAAGAAGAATTTGGCGCAAAGTGTAGGAAAAGTGGTTTTGAAGGAATCTCCCATTGACTTCAATGTTAAAAAAAGAGTTTAAAAAGCTGAATATTTCAAAAAGTATGAAATATTTTGAAAAAGTTGAAAGTTAGCCATCAATTGCAGAAAAGGCTGAATAGTTTAATATTTGAATGGTTTCTATAGCTGAAAGTAAGCTGAAGTTATGGAGAGCTAAAGTATTGGCTGATTTGAAGGCTCTTCCCATTGACTTCAATGTTAAAAAAAAAGAGTTTAAAAAGCTGGATATTTCAAAAAGTATGAAATATTTTGAAAAAGTTGAAAGTTAGCCAATGATTGCTGAAAAGGCTGAAAAGGCTGAATAGTTTAATATTTGAATGGTTTCTATAGCTGAAAGTAAGCTGAAGTTATGGAGAGCTAAAGTATTGGCTGATTTGAAGGCTCTTCCGATTGACTTCCATGTTAAAAAAGAGTTTAAAAAGCTGAATATTTAAAAAAGTATGAAATATTTTTGAAAAAGTTGAAGGTTTCCCATCGATTCCTGAACAGGCTGAATAGTTTAATATTTGAATGGTTTGTGTAGCTGAAAGTAAGCTGAAGTTATGGAGTGCCAAAGTATTGGCTGAAATAATAATAAGGGGAAGAATAAAGATTTGAAGTACTATAGTGGAATGCTGTAAATAGCATTCGCACTAATTATGGCGATTAGGCGACTAATCGTCGCACGTATGATGTATTGCCACTGACCTCTGTAAATCTGTTGACTTGCTCTCTGCCGTGCTCGCCTTTGGAAGACATGAGCATGAGTTTGTTTTGTAGCTCCAGAAGGTCTTCAAGCTTGTAGCTCTTTTCCTCTGTGCCCCTTATTGTGACCCGTATCATGTTCTGTAGACATCTCTGCAAACAAGTGAAAATCTTAAATAACTTGTATGCATGCAGTTAGCATTGTTCATCTTAGTATCTTAGACTTTGAATGTGTCATTTTTCTGAACATAACTGCCTTTTATCTTTTTGTGCAATGTAGCACAGTAATGAGGACTCTACTGAGCAAGGAAGATGCTGAAAAGCTTGCTCATGTTATTGTTGATAAAATAAATAGCAAAGCAAATTCATTCAATAATTATCTTTATCAGAAATACTTTAATAATCCCAAGGGAAAATGTGTTTCTATGACAGTTGTTCCACTTTAGAATGAATAAAATACAATAAAACAAAACAAAATATATTATTAAAATGTGGATTAAAAGATCAAATAAGATATATGACCATAATACATTAAAGTTATATGTCCAGTAAAGATAAAAATTAAAATAATAAACTATTTTATAAACATAAGAAGACATGTGCCAGCTTATTGACTCAGAGAACTGACACTGAGTTTAAAGTGTATCCTTAATGGAAGATGGTTCACGTACCTTCTCTGTGTTTTCATCACACCACCCTATGTGATAAACTCCATCAGCATTAATAGAAGAAGCCAGGGTGAGGGAGGACTGCTCCACAGACCCGTGCGTCTCCTTCAGTGCTTTCAGCCAGTTCAGCAGACGAGTGGACTCTCTCTGGAAAACAAACCCAGTGGCATCATTGTCACTTTAACACAGTAACAGGGCTTACAGTATATGTTCTGCATACAAATAAAGAATTACCAATTTGTCTGGTAGCTTGTCATCTCTGTTTTGGGTGTCCCACACCTGATGAGCACACTTCAGGAACTCCTTAAAGCCAGCCTCAGGGGAGAGGGAGTAGAGCAGAGGAGCGTATCCCATCACTGCATCGTGGAAACACGCCACCTGGTCGATCTCTGTGTCATTCTCTCCAGCAGAGATGGAAGCAAGGTCCACATACACCTTCACATCGCTCATATCTGTACAGGGAACAGAGTAGTAAGCAGGCATCTTCTGCAGGACTGAAGAAGATTTATGGTTTTGCACTAATGTGGAGACTCACTTGTAAGGTTCTCTCTGACCCAGCTGACCAGAGTCTGGCTCGCAAGAAACTCTTCCAGACAGGCTGTGTGATGCTTGGTGACTGCGGAGAGCTGCAGTTTGGCTTGAAACAGGTCAGCAGTAAGGGACCCCAGGGGCCTCTGCTTAAATGTGTCTTCTTCCTGTTAAGCCGACAAATACATATTTAAAAAAGTTTTCTTAAAAAGATCATCAAGCTATGAAAAGCAGTTGCGTTACTGCGTTAAATTTGAAAATCCTTAGTTCAAACCATTAAATGTAACTTTTACCTCCTGCCATTCAATTACATTTCTAAAAAGGTTCCTTTAATATAAATGACAGATAAAAAGTCAAATAAGGAATAACAAGAGTATTATTTCTTCTATGTAGCCCACTGCAACTCAATTCCTTTGTGACTGAACTACGTTAGATCACAAGACAATTACCAGTTGGCTGAGAGTTTCAATTTCTGCAAATTTCCCAGAAAGCTTCATTTGTTCTGCGATTTTCAGCATTGCACTGGCTGCAGCGGCCGCCTCGTGGAGCTGTCGATACTCCTGGATCTGAGTCAGCCTCCGCTCCACCCAGTTCTCCTGAGGTTTGAAGCTTGCCGACTCACAAAGTATCTCAGACATCAGACTCAGCTCCTTCTTCATTCGTTTCCCGTCGCCCTGGTCGCCGGATTCCATCAAAACCTCATTGAGCTCTTCAAAAGTGATGCTTGCATTGGCCATGCTGACACCGAGCTGAGAGAACTCTGTGATCAGCGGCTGCCAGATGATTTCATAGATCTGTGTCAGGGTGACTGGAACAGGAGATGTGCAGGGTTGCCTCGCAGACGCCAGAGATGCAGCCTCCCTGACCCAGTGGGGCAGAATCAGGTTGCTGTGTTGCAGTTTGTGCATCTCATTGGACATTTTCAGGACATTCATACCAACTTTGTACCAGAGGACCTGGGTGGGGCCCGTGTTTCCCAGCTTCTCCTCAGAATCAAAGGTCTGAACAAGCACCAGTGTGTTCAGGCTCACAGTGTGCAGATCTGCACTGTGCTGCTTCTCCAGAGTTAACATCTCAGGAACTGGTTGAATAAGAAAAAAAAAAAATACATATCCAAACTCTATGCAAAAGTTCTCTAATTTAACATAAAACTATTTGGCAATGGGTTATTTTTCCACTTTGATTTACCTGTGAGGCTTTCTGCCACTTTTGCTATCATCTTTATCAGTGTATCCATTTTCTTTTTTCGTTGCTTGAACGACTCCAAATCCTTCTCTCTCTGATCCAAAACCACATCTGCATTGACAGGAACGCTCTCAGATTTCATTTGTTTCTTGTCTGTGGAAGACATAATGCAGCTATTATTAACTAACACCAATAAGGAGGAATATAATGTAGTAATCAAGGGGGGATTTTTGTAATGAAAAGATCCATACACTGCTGATGAAGTCTCTTGAACTGGTCTCTGTATTTCAGACAGGTCTCCAGGTTTCCCAGGGCCACGTCTCCCTGAAGCAGCGACTCCACCAGATGATGCAGAGAGGTCACACAGTTGTCGAAAACCTGTCTTGCAGCATCATCCACGTGGATCGACTTCCAATCACCTGCACCAAAACAATGCCATTGTTACCATTGTGAAACTTACTGAGTAAACATTCTTCAAGGAAAAAATATAATATAAATGAATGATAAAAAAAGAAATGTACTTTGAGACAGCAGGTAGTTCATGGCAGACTGTGGATCTAGCAGCTGGACTACAGAGTCGTCTCTGAATCGTGCTGCTGATTCAACCACAACAGCAGACAAGACAACAACGGGTGGGTCCTTCGTCTTAGAATAGAGGCTCTGCATCAGGCCTCCCTCCTGCTTTCTCTGAAAACAGAAAAGTATGATAATATAACTTTTGTCATTATTTCACTTTTGATTGTCCTGTTTTGTGAGAAAAAAAACATCTAAGGTTTGAGAAAAAGTAACTTATGAACACTTTGATGGAGGACGTCATTCCCGACCAGGAAGTTAGCATGGCTACATGTTCTTGATACTTTAACTTTTTTTCCACATGATGATCTCCACATGACACTCATTTTATGATGATAGAAAAGTAAAAGCAATTGCGAGAAGTAAAAAGCTAACGTAGGATATACAAAACGAAATCAAGGTAGCATGACTTCGTATCACCAGCGCTAAGCTAAAGACGGCTAAAGGCCCTGACACACCAAGCAGTCACCAGAGAACTCGCCGACGCCGACTGTTGCGTCGCTGTGTTCTCCTGCGTCTTGGCCATGTGTCGGTCGCGACTGGACCGCACGCCAAGATTCATGAACGAGCACGATACGAACTGACGCGAACGCATTGTCGTTTAGTGGCAATAACTCTCCTTTACCAGCAGGCGGCGGTAGTGTGTATTCGTCATTCAAAAGAGGCAACAACCGGAAGACAGAGAAGAAGAACAGACTACGTGATATAAACGAACAATAAATAGAGTGTGCGTTCCATTTTCACTCAAATCCATCGAAAACATGTTTTGTGCGGTACTGGAGCTATCAGCCATTGGAGTGTTGCTTGTGGAAGACATTCTCAAGCAACCGTTTCGCTTCTCATGCACTGATTCGCTAGCTGAACAGCCAATCAGAGGGATTTCTTTGTCCGACTGCCTGTCAAATAAGGCGTGTCACGGCCGACGGGGCGGACACACCAAATTGAGTTTGGGCGAAAGGGAACGCTTCGTCGTCCGACTCACGAAAACGGCCGATTTCAGCCTGATTTTCTCACTTCGGTTAAATGGATTCCTTGCGTCCCTCACTTGCGTCGTTTCCCTGCGACTAGTCCCTCCCACCAGGGAAGCATGGAGAGATGCAAGGAAACCACGAGAAGCAGGGAAATTAGTTTTAAGAGCAATGGGACGTCCTTTCCTCCGGAGCGTCACGTGAAGCGACGTCCGTTTGTGATGACGTTGCACAGCTGATCGTCTGACAGCAGCCAGCTCTGTCCCCGTTGTTTCCACACACACCCCCGCCTCTGTTAGTACACATTTACTGACACAAACATTTGTATCATCTGTTGTAGACCCAAATAAATAAAATAAAATAAGAACTCATTCTCAAAAAAGATAAACCCCATTCTTAAAATGTATAAACGAACAATATGATTAATATTGATTAGAGTGCACAAAATAAATAAAAATAATTCAGAGAAGAAAAAGAGATATGTTATCTATCAAAACCCAGTTAGATTAACATTCATTGGATTGCACACTTTGTTTGTTTGTTTGGATATGTAGCAAATTAACATTTTAAATAGCACTTAATGACTGACTGAATGGAAATGACAATAAATGAAAATGTAAAACAAAAAGGCGTTCATGAAAATGTTTCCAAAAAATGAATAAAATGATTTTTGACCACTTTGTTGTTCAGATATATCACATATTTGTAACTAAATGATACATGAATTGAAACAAAACACGGTATAAACTGAAGAGTGAGTCCCGTGAGGTTCATGTATTTTTTTTTAACTCCGCCGGGAAACTGCTCTCATGTCAAGAAGCATCAGATGAGTGCATGCACTGCATCGTCCAATCAGTGAGCGATATACAGTAAGGGGCTGGGCGAGTGTCTGAGGATTTCATCGGAGGATGGTCTGATGGTTCCTCGGTTATCGCTCCTCCATTATCGCTCCTCAGTCCTCCAGCAAAAATAAGGCCATTGGGAGGCTACTCAAGATGGCGCAGACAAATCAACTTCCGGTGAGACCGAGATCGAGGAGCGAGGAAATGAAAAATAAGAGAAGTGAGAAGGGCTGGTGTGTCCGGGCCTTAATGTTTGGCATGACAACGTTTAGTCAAATTTAGATTCTTGTTCGCAACCACTGCTTTAAATGACACATTTAAGGATCAGACATTCACGAGTGGGGTATTTTCATCTTGATATGTTAAAAGAAAAAGTGAAAATTATTTTTTAAGCTTGTGTTAACCACAGATCTTATTTCAGGTAACTAAACAAAAAGATGTTTAAAAAAGAGACAAGCAGTCGGAAGTGGTAAAATGCTAACTCGTTTCTGGGTTTTTGGACTCAATCCTGCACGACTATATTACATGGGTTAGCATGCATAGGTGTTGACCGTACAATAACACCCAAAGGCATCTTATGAATACAGAGCTTTCTGTAAGGACGTACCTTGAACGGATAATTAATATGGACTGTACCTGGCAGATTTCCTTGATAGCAGACTGACACAGCTCGTCGAAACTTGTCTGTACCACCTCGTCACTTTTTCTTATGGCTGCAATTTCAAGGCAGCAGACCAAGACTTTTTCCTCTTCACTGGCCTGCAAAAAAACACAGTAAATGTCCTGTAAAGAGGAAAGCATTTACCTGCTGCTACTGGATCCCGTAACTTTGCTCTTGGTTTGATCTGCAGATAACTAACAGAATACAAACTAGAAAAGGCCACTCTGTAATTGTCACTCCTGGATCTCTTATAGTCAATGGCAGCTAAAATAAGAAAGAGTGATTTTTCACTTTGTAGTCTTGTATTGTGCCTTATTTAAGTGGATTATATAGCATATCAGGTATAGAATGAATCGTATGGTCCACTTCCAGATGACACCAAACCTTTTTCCGAATTAAAGTTTTTGAGACTAAAAAACAACCCTTTTTTTTGTGCATAAAGTCATAAAATACACAAACAAAATTAGGCTGAGGGTACATTATTATAAGAGATAATCTGTGGACATACAGATACTCAAAATATTGTTCCCACAGGCTTACACATGGTTATGTCTACTACTGTCTACTATGAATAATAATGTCTATTTTACTCTGATCAATAAATGATCACCTTAGAAATCCTCTTCTTCAGGTCTTTTTTCAGAGTCAACCTCCAACTGGATGAAACTTCTTCAAGAGAACATTCCACCTTCAGCAGCGAGTCCCACATCTGATCATTAGGAAAATCAAACAACATTTTTTCAGGAAAGAAAACAGGGTTTATCAAGTTCATTTTTCACCTTTACAGCATTTATTTTTGTTTCACTTTATCTGTTCGCTGCAAACTGCATACAAGAAAGAAGCAAACTGAATAATTAATTTAAATACTTTCCAATATTATTTTTAATGTTTACCTCAATTTCCTTTGGATAGCTGAGTGTTTTAGACTCATGCTTCAAAAGGGGTTTGTGCAGCAATGCATCTCTCCACTCAATGACTCTCTGCTGCACGGATTGTAGAGCCTCCAAGAGTTTCTTATTTGAGGTCTCAAACTCATCTTCCGAGGACTGAAAGGCACAAAATAAACCATGAATTAAAGTTACTACTCCAAAATAAGGCATTCAGAGCGCGTTTTAAGGAAATGATTACCTCTTTCTTCAGTTTAACATCCATCATGTCTGCCAATTTCAACACCAGCTGGTAGGAGAGAACTGCAGCGTGGTACGACTGGACGAGTTGCGTTATTGCACATGTGTTTGTCAACACACTGATGCAGCTCGAGAAGACCAGCTTTATATTACCAGATTCAATCATTCTACAGACACAAAACACAAGTTACAGTGAGCAAAACAACGCTAGAATGCATCATGGGAAATATTTCAGCTCTTACCTTTCCTTCTCTTTGTCTACCTTCAGCAGTAAATGGGTCAGGATTTTCTGAGTGCTCTGCTTGCAGAAAATAAAATATTACAAAGCATTATTTTGCTGTTATAACAACAGTATTTGGAGTCTTAAATATGTAAATTTATTTGATTTGTTCACCTCTGCTCTCTCGTTATCCCTTGACTCTACACATCTTCGCAGTCTGTACAGCAGACTCTGGATCAGGTGCTCTGCAGGTATTCCCGTCATGTCTGAAAGTTCCGGAAGATCCTCAAATGCGACCAGAGATAACCAGCTCACCAGAAGCAGAGGCATCTCCTCAGCCTTTTTTAGGTGTGCCTGGATCAAACCCAGCATTTTCCTGTGAACAAGTTAAGTGTTTTTTAAATTAAAAAGGCATCATCTGTTTTAGGAAAGTAAGGATGCTTTGAGACACACTCACTTCCTTTTGTCAGGGTGGGACTGTATGTTCTCCCTGAACTGTCTGTAATAGACTCTTTCAAGTCCTGACCAGTTGTCCTCCTCCACAGACGGACCCACTTTGGTTGCGTCCGCTCCCGGCTGTCTGAGCCTGAAGAGCAGAGGAAGGAGCAGGACGAGCTCTGACACCATGGACTGAGCACAGCGGTTCATCAGAGCCAACAGCACACTGAAGGGAGGACAGAGAAGTGGGAGAATTAGGGATGAGGCAAAATCCATTCATGTAACAATTTCATCTGAATCGATTCACAACTTCCTTTTTTTTTAAACGTTCCTTTCTACCAAAGAACCAAACCTTTGCTGTTCAAAAAGCTCTTTATTTTTCTCATACTGCCTGTGCTGCAGCCCCTCTTTTCACCCTCGGTCTGAAACCAGAGCCCAGTCTGCTCTAATTGGTTAGCTGGATTGCTTTGTTGTGATCAATTCGGTCAACCGAATAGAGATGTCCCTTCCCTTAACCTATCATGTGCAATGTGTTGGAGCACTAGCCAATAGAAGTGTGAGTGTTACTTAGTGATGTCACTATGTTATAGAAGTAAACAAAGGACTCCAATTGAGGCGTTTCAGGCAGGGGGTGAGAGAAACTCCCTCTCGAGTGATTTCAGCCATTTATATGCACTAAAACCTATATAACACACTACAGGAAAGGAACAAAAACCTAAAAAGCACAATAGGGACTCTTTAAAAAGTGTTATTTTGCCAACAATTTTAAGCCTAATTGTTTGGGAATTGATAAATACTAAAAACGTTTTTTAAATATTTTTTATTCATGAAAGTTTAGCATGAATAAAAATGTGACCTTTTTTTATGTTTGCCTATGGGGTAACATTTTTTCGAAATCCCTTGATATATCTTACTTTAAATTCCTAAAATCGAATATGTTCTTTTCTCTGCTTTCATGCAGTAATGGGCCACCCCCCTCTATGAGTAGATCCTGAAATTAAGACTTCTATGTACTGAATCCAGAAATAATTTTAAATAGGGAACCGATGTTAAAGAGAGTAGGCTATATACTGTATACAGTATTTCAGATAGTGTAATGAGTCATGGAAGTTATGGAAGATAGTTGACAGAAACCAAGTAAATTGACCTCTATTTTGTCGAACTACTTGACACTTTTTCCAGACTTACAATTGTGGATTTTGGAAATAACTTAGCAACTCGTCCAGGTGTTTCTTGTCCATCGATGTCTCTGAGGACACGAGGAGACACAGCTCAGCCAATCCTTTCACTCTGAGGCTGATGTTACACTTTAGGGAAACCATGAACACAGACAGGCCCTGAATGAGAGGACTGCTGCTCCTCCAGCTGCCGGGGACTTTCTCCTTCGGCTCTCCTTTTAGAATCTGAACCAATGTGTCCTCAATCAGCTCAGATGTCTGGGAATAAAATAAATGTGATTAGAGGCAGACAATTTGTGGTAAAGTATAATAAATACTGTGATTTATATTCTTCTTGTTCAACCAACCTTGATCATTGGTGGTTGTGAATGGCCTGGAAATGCCATCCTTGTGTGTGCAGAACCGAGACTCTCCATAAAATGCGACAAGCTGCCACACAACCTCTCAGTGCTCTGTTTGTCAGATGGGTTCCATTTCTGGAAGATGCTATTCAGCAGAGTCCCCGCTGAGGCCTGCCAGGCTTCTGATACCGCAACACTTTTTGATCTGTGTAAACCGATCATCTGAAGGCCAGACTCCCAAAAACTTTGCCCGTCATGACGAAAAATGAAGCCTTCATAAAGGTGCAGCTCTAGATAGATCACAGGTAGGTTCTTGTTCAAGAAGAAAATGTATAGATATGTGTTAGAATGCTAGAGCTAAATGGTTTCTTGCCTTACCTTTAATGTTTGTGTTGAATGGGATATGAACGTGTCTTTTAGTGATTCCTGTCTTTATGTCTTTGGATCGTTGCTTCACACCATACCAATACGCCCAGAACTCGCCTCTTGTCAATTCCCGCTCTTCAACGGAAAAACTTGCTTCCACCAGATATCCTCCCTGTTGTAGTCCACTACACAGAACATATTGAAACATCTGTTGGGACATCTTTACTGAAGATACAAAACTGCAGTGAAGGCTGAATATCAGAACAATTGTCTTCATGGCAACGGTGTGCACTGGATAATGCTCTTGATAATCAAGGTAAATGTTATCAAGTCATATTAATAATGTGGCCATGTAGAAGCAACTCATGGTTAACACTTTGATTAACACTGACTCTCAAGAGGCTAAATGCATCCCTGTCTACAGCAGCTGAGCAATAACTGTACTCTGTTACAAGTAAAAGTCATCAATTAAAGATTTCGCTTGTTTAAAACTACAAGAGCATCCCTAGCAAAATGCACTAAAAAAATCGCTTCCAGATTGTTTAATACTGAGCCATAGAGGACCAGAAATATGTTTTTTTAAAACAAACAAAGTGCTTTTTATTATTATTATTGAGATTAAATGTTTTTTTAACAACTCCACCCTGATTAATCAGCACAACAAGTGAAAACACTTTTGAGGGTATGTGGGGCCTTTAATGTTTAACAATGCATCACATTTAAAATAAGAAAAACGTTTTGAAATTAAAATCTAAATTGGCTTCAATTGTCTGTCCTATAAATAAGGGAAAAGTTGAGTTTGTGTTGTGCGGTTAACTGAATGATAAAAATGGTGCCGTTAGATTGAGAAAAAAAACAGTTTGTTGACCACAGTAAAAATAACCATTTTGAAAAGCTTAACGCCAACAAATAGAGATAAAAGAAAGAAAACATGTTGGAAATGATTTGATCTATCTTTTTTCAAGCCTTTTGACTTTAAGACCGACCACACTAATCAAGATATTCTACAAATAATATTTCACTAATTATATCCTTGTAGCCTGATCTTTAGCTGCTACAGTGCATATGGGCTTGCTTTTTAATTTATTTGAATGTTCATGTGATAAAAAAAGATTGAAGATGTATCTATTTGATACAGGCCTACTTGTAACTATGGCAGTGAAATAACTGCAGTAAAGTAAACAGTACAGTATTTTGTGTATTGAAGTAGAAAGTAGAAACACATGAATATACTTAAGCAAGACTCAAGTACAGTACACAAGTACAGTTACGGTTACCCACAGTTTAAAGGGGAACATGGGAGAAACCTCAGGGAGAGCAACAGAGGAGGGATACCTCTCCCAGGACAGACAGACGTACAATAGATGCCGTGTGTAAATTGAAAAGATAATACATTTACAACATACAGTATTAACACCCTCAAATGAAATTTGAGTAAAAACTTAAATTACAATTCTATGATTCTTGAATGATTTGCAGATTAAAAAGTGAATACTCACACAAAGTGCGTAATCTTAAAGGGTGTTTGCCCTTCATCATAACACATCATAAGCGTGTCTTGTTCTTGGTTGAATCTAAACTTTTCTTCCAGCACTGCGTAGATGTGAACGGTGAACATGGGAGCAGTGGGTGGATATCTCACTGGGCTTCGATCCCTGTGGAGAAGGGAGAATACACGTTAACTATCCCACCAACAACCACAGTATCAGATGTTGCTGCTTGTGCCTGTCTTACCGTGTGCTTTGGGGTGTTTTTGTGTTTTTATCCGCTGCTTTGGAGGCTTCCACATTGGACTGTTTCTGACTCCCACCCTCTCCAGACACTACTTTGGCCCATGACTTGGGTTTGGCAGAGGGATTCTCCTCTTTAGACTTTGACTCCTTCTCAGGGTTTTGCTTCTCGGTTGACTCTGATGCTGCTTTGTCATTGCCTTTGTTTGCATTTTGCTTTAACTGAGTCTGAACAGTGTTTTGCATTTTGACTTCTGGCGTGTCTTGTTTCTTCTCCTCCGTCTCAGGTTGAGTCTTCTCATCGTCTTGTTTTGTCTCAGAGAAGTCGGTCTGTGTTTCCTGGTCGCTGTGACAAACAACAGGAGTTTGTGTGTATTTAGTTGTATCTTTTGGCTTCTTCGTCTCCGTCTCAGGTTGAGTCTTCTCATCGTCTTGTTTTGCCTCAGGGAAGTCGGTCTGTGTTTCCTGGTCGCTGTGACAAACAACAGGAGTTTGTGTGTATTTAGTTGTATCTTTTGGCTTCTTCGTCTCCGTCTCAGGTTGAGTCTTCTCATCGTCTTGTTTTGCCTCAGAGAAGTCGGTCTGTGTTTCCTGGTCGTTCTGACAAACAATGGGAGTTTGAGTGTGAGCTTGCACCATCTTAGCATCCCCGTGGCTTTGTTCTTCCACAGTCTGAACTTTGTCTTCCGCTTGTGGATCCACATGTTGCGTTTCTACGGGCCGAGTCTCCTCAGTTTGGCTGCTTGTTCCTACAACCTCCATCTCACCTTTATCTGTGTCTTCATTTTCAGAATCTGCATCTTTCTTTACACTGGAGGTGCTCTTTTGTGTTTTCTGATTCTTCTTTTTCCTCCTCTCTTTGTCTTTGACCTTCTTGTTGTGGTATCCTGGCCTTTGTTCCTGGAATACACATCAAAAATAAAGATTTGCTTTTATTTTATCAAACGGTCACTCAAATAATGTGTGGGATTTCTTCCTATGACTGCATTCCTACCTTATTTCATTGATGTGAGGAAAATATTGTTTTAGGAATATCCTGTTTTGGGCAATTTACATCTTTCTAATTGTGTAAATAGATGCTGAACGCAGCAGAGCTTCACGCAACTCCACTAATCAGAACAAAAGGTGAAAACACCTGTGAGGGTACATGGGGCCTGTAACAATCATTACATGTGATGAACTGAGCACATTATGCATGTACAAATACTTAGTTACTAGGGATTATGGTATTTATTTATTTTTACATTCCAAGCTTTTATTGAGGTTTACATATAAAGCTTCAAATGTCTTTCCTCATATTTTAAGATGTTATCACCCTAAAAATATAATAGGGAAATGTAGTTGTTGTTGTTACTGTGGTCAATTGAATGTTGTGCTTTTAGATTGGTGGTAGGTAATAGCTAAGAGCTGCATACCTCTCTTTGTGTGAAAAATGTGAAAATGGAAAACAGCATACCTTATTTCTTTTCTTGCGTTTTTTGGTTGCATCATCCTCCCCTCGCTGGGATCCAGAGGTGCTGGGGACGTTTCCTGCTCCCCCCTCCATCTGTAGGGACTTTCTGAAGGGAGTCCCTGTTCCCCTGATGTCTGTCTATGAATATAAACATCTCAGTTACATCCTCCATGTCTCTCTGGGACACTTACTATTCAAGTTGAGTCAGTTAGATAACTGTCAGTTAGGGAGTGGCAAGAAGAGAAATGCTGACACTGAAGATTACAAATGCACCTCTTCGTTAGAATTAATCATTTATACAACTAAAATAAACAAATATGTCATCTAGTCTGTTATATAACACCACAAGGGCTATAAATACCAAGTATGTTATCAATACAATGAATACATTATAAATCAATAAAAACATAAATGTCAGCTGACTGACTGATTTGTATTTCTCTGAGCTAATTTTAGGCCGTTGACGATTCATTAAGATACAAAAAGGGTTATTAAATCATAATTCAATTCAATACATTAAATCCCTGTTTATAGTGCATAACCTATATCCAGTGAAGGAATGTAACTAAGTACACTCAAGTACACACAAGCTACTTAATTCTTTTTACTGACAACATTTTTTAGTTACTAGCTACTTTGCAGATTTATATTCTTAATACAACATATCATTCAACTAATACATTATTAAATATTATGATACCCCCAGTAGTGTATAAAGTAATGCATTAAAGGTGGGGTATGTAATTATGGAGAAACCAGTTCGTGTGCGCTAGAATTTGAAACTATGCAGTCGAAAAATCTGCCTCTTCCTTCAGACTTCCTTACAGAGCCCCTCCTCCAACACACACGAACGCGTACATGACCAATGAGGGCACGAGATAAGTTTGTGCACACTGAGACTGCCAAGGCACACGTAGGGCATCCAGTTATTTTAGCCGGGCAGGCTCAGATGATTGGTCGTGCTTTTTACAGCGCCACGGCTTCCACAGATGACATTTTTTAAATGTATTTATTGTCAAAGCATTTAATATATTCATTGCTATCGGGATGTTAAGAGCATTCCATGGAATATGACAAAAAGTGTTTCTGAAATAAATTACATACCCCCAGGGCAGTATCCAGGATTTCCTAAATACCGAGGTCCAAATATGTTAGGGGGGTTCGGGGGACACCCCCCGAGATTTTTTGGATTTTCCTGATCTAGTTAGGTGCTTTTTAAGTCCTGTGGGGGGTCACACATTGGATAATATATTGATTTCAAACCATGTCAGTGGGCTGACAATGTCAGCATAAAATAATTTATGCTGACATTGTCAGCCCACTGACATGGTTTGAAATCAATATATTATCCAATGTGTGACCCCCCACAGGACTTAAAAAGCACCTAACTAGATCAGGNCGTTGTGGGTCTTTATAAGTGTTTATATTTGTTTATATGTCTTTGACATTACTTGTTATTGATAATAATAAAGTTTTTGAAGAATAAATGTCTTTGAAGTTGTAAAGATTAGACACGACCTGTGTTTAGTACGTGCTAACCAACAACACCCGCAGGGGATAAGTAGAGTTTAGCGGAAGTCCCCTCGAGGAGGGAGAAGCGCCCTCGGTTCAGGAGGACCGAGGGGGGGGTAAAGCTTGTGCACCAAATCTTACAATTGAAAACTCACTTAAATCCTCTTTTAATGTCTGCGTTTACTGTTGTGATATCATTTTATTGTGTGAATTAACATAAAACAGCAAAAGGAAGGTTTTCGGACTTTCTTTTGTCAATACCTTAGTTTTATCGTGTTCGTAGAGTTGTCAAATGGTCACGTACTTTTGGTTACAAAAACGGACGGTAACAGAAGCGAAATTGTGTGTTAAATACGCCGAGCCATTAGCCGACTGTCCGGGCCGGTCCCCGTGGCGGAAAAAAAAAAAAAAAAAAATTTCGCCGGGGGGGGAGGGGTGAAAAAACCGTCGTGGACTCGGTTTTACTGAAGGGCGCGATACTGCCACTGCTGGGGTGAAAATAAGTAAGTTTGTAAAGCTTTTCCTACCGAAAGACGTACGAACGCCTGTTCTTTCGGGTTTGTTGAGTGCAAGTGGCTCCTAGTTTGGAGGTTTGGGAAAGCTCCCCGATGTTCTTGCTTCACTCATCTGGATGTTCTAACTTCCGAATGCTACTATTGCTTGCCTCATTAATTTGTCTTAACCTCCGCCTTTCACACACACACAACACACACACACACTTCTCTCTCTACACTAATTTTTATCGGGGTAACGACAAATGTTATTTATTTGTAACTTACACAAATTAAACTTATCCTTCCCAAATGGCATCACCGTCCAACACACACTTCGTCTTACATATTCTGTACGGGTTATAAATTTTTTAAAAAAGATAGAAAAAGCGTTGAAAAGCCATATAAAAACGTTGAAGGTGGCGGCGCTGCATTCTTTACGCTACTTACGTTGCTATGGTTACGATGGCGATGCCGGCGCGGTATTTGCAATGTTCATATTGATATTTTTTTAACTCTGGCTTTGTGATAACAAATATGGCAAAACGAAAACAGCCATGCCTCGCAGCTTTTGGATTCACAAGCAAAGAAGCAAAGGAGTCTAATAATGACAACGTGAACGGAAAACAACTTTTAGTTGGCCGGCTGTAAGCGGCGTTAGGGTCGAGTTTGACAGCTCCTCACCGAGTTGAGTAAAGTTGGTTTCAGATTTTACGGATCAATAACTCATGAACAAAACGTTGTTCAGAAAAAAAGTACGTCTCCTAAGTACTGTGGTAAGGTTGACAACGAACTACAATCAAATTTTGATTTAAAAAAAAAAGCCAATACGTGCTGTCCTCCAAACTGGACACATTACATTGGTCTCTATCCACAGCCGGAGAAGAAACGAGTGCTCAGGGACCATCTGCAAAGTGCTACTCCGAAAAAAGAGAATACAATAATATTCAATCACTTCACATTTATACAGTATATTTTTACCAAACTCACTACACACATCAATAGTCTCCTGTTGCTCATACTACAGCAGAGAGTTTGGAAGAATGTGCTTTTGAATAATTTTGGGGAATATTTCTAATGTAACATCTTCAATAAACATGGCATCATCTTCAATAACGTTACTATTATACAGTATAAATATTCACCAAAATTGATTTTGAGTCTTGAAAATGTGCTTTCCAGATCATTGAGAAATGTCTTGTGTCTAATGAACATGTTTTGCATATTTATTTATGAATTCTGGATTTTAAAAAGAGCGATGGATGAGATATAATGGTAATCATTCTAGTCTCTTTTCTCAAGCCTTTTTTCATCACACACATATATTTTTTTTTTTTAAACATACAACCCATATTTTAAAACATGTCTGGAGGGGTGTATGTATCAATGGAGAGATTAGCAAATACTTCAAGAACAAAACAGACCGAAATTTAGATAATGCACAAATAAATACTTTGTTTATTTTATATAAAAAATGCTTGCCATTACATTGCATTAATCCAGAACACAGTTAACATAGATTTGGAAGCTTTTGTTACATTAACTTGTTATACCATGAAAACAGTATGGCCTTAGTATAAATAAATACTGATGTTGTTTTATTTATTTATTTATTTTTTTTATATATATATATATATATATTGTGTGTAGGCTATTCTCTTTCTAATAGTGTTTTATTTGTTTGTCTCTATCTTCACTTTTGCTGTAACAATGTACATTTATCTTCTGTGGGAAGAATAAAGGTATTCTGATTCTGAAATCGTATACTCATATTTTGAAGTCCACCTCCTCTGCTTCCGGTCACCCTGACGGAGCTTGCACGCGGACGGAGTGACGCAGCGACAGAGGGGGGCGCGCATCCATCTGATTCGCTTCCTGAAGCAGTCACGTGCAGAGCCCTAGTCACGTGGTATCGACAGGCAGCGAGGCTTCGTTTGTCATCGATGACGTCACTGGCCCAAAACGACATAGATATTATGCAAAACGATACAAGCTTCACAAAAAGCTTCGGGGATTACTCGACACACACTCCGAAGCCTTGGCGCAATACGTAACATCACTAGACAGAACACTTCTCCCCGGTCAGCGTCAACAACTCTTCTAATTTATTACTTATTCAGTAAGTAAGTCCATGTTGACACCTTGTTGTCCTGCGAGGGTGTATGGGTAACGCTATGTTATCATGACATGTTGTTATTGTTATTGTTAGCATTTAGTGAGTTAGCAGTTCAAAGTACACATGTTAACACTACTCATATCTGTCACAGTAATGCTGTTATATCAGTGCTGCCCTGCTGTGAAGTCTCTTAAGAACCTCACAACACTATTCTTTTATTACTTTAGTAAAAGTACAAACACTGTTAGAAGTTAAAGTCCTGTAAGGTTTAGTTTAGTTTATTGGTTTAGTTTTCAGGGACCATGTACAAAAAGAACATACATCTCAAAGAGATAAGATGCTTTGTACCAGATTATAGCAGTTTGCTCATTTCCATCTGCAGTCCATGGGCAGATCAACACAAAATACAGCACATAGGCTACAATTCAAATCTCAGATATAAGTAAAGAAAAGAACAACATTATCTTAGAAAATATGGTGGAATAGAAGAAAGTGGCATAACATGACAATACTCAGGTAAAATACACGGGTAGCCTGGCTGTGTCCAAAGTTCAAAGAGACATTGTAGTCATTTTGAAAAGTGTATTTCAAGTTGTGGTTTTATAGAAAGTAACTTAAGATACTACTTAAGTACGTACTTGAGTACACCCTGTACTTCCTTGAAGTCAATGAGTTAAATATCCTTAATTGAGACACTTAGCATCCACACAACATGCCATGGTGAGGTTGTCTTGGTATTTCAGAAACACTTTTTGTCAGTATTCCATTGACGCATGCTCTTACTCCGATGCAATGAATACATGAAATGCTTTGACCATGGTACATTAAAAAAATGTATCTCTGGAAGCCGTCAGTACTGTTAAAAGCAAGACCATCATCTGAGCGGCCGGACAACATATTCTGGATGGCCTACTGCCTGTCAGCTTCCATCTGTGCACAAACTTATCTCGTTGCCCTCAGTTGGTCATGTGCTTCGTGTGTCTGGAGGAGGGGCTTGTAGGAGCGAGTGGCAGATTTTTTCGGTGCATGTTTTTCAAATTCTAGGCACTCAAGCTGGTTTCTCCAAATGACCTACCCACCTTTGAATGTTCCAGCGGGCGAACACGCGCGGGTGGGGAGCCCCCTGGCGACAGATGGGGCGTCAAGGGTTCTTAGTGAAACCTAAAAGTATTGCAAAGTCATGGCGCACTCTCCTGTTAATACTCCTGTTTGTACACAAGGGCAAAGGAGGATAAAGGAGTCCGGTGAGGTACATTGTATAAGTGGGTAAATGCACAAATGTATTTTAGTTGGGATCACTTTTTAAGTTGTGTTGCCTGGCACCCACAAGAGCCCAATGATTAATCCAAGGAATATGTTTGGTGTGTTTTGTTTTTTAACCGTTGTAGATGTTAAAATTTCCCTTGAACAGCTGTATCTCCCTCTGAGAGGCCTGTTCCTGTCGACCTTCAGCTGTGGGGACACTGATTCTGACATTGTTATCTGAACTCTCCTCCTCTCTCTGGATCAGGACTCACCAATGGGAGTGGTTGAGTTTCACAGCACTTCAAGAGGTATGATAATAAGGTTGCACAATACTCAAACTTTTATCCAAATCGGAAACACGGGGGACCAGTGGCGATATCCAATTGTAGTAAGCGCAATATAATAATTGATGCTTTTTTTGAAAATGTATCATTACCTATAGATAGGAAGAATTGTCCCCCTTACTCAAATATTTACATCTATTATTCTCATGGTGGCAAATTCTGCACACAAGTTTGGTTCTATGGGAACGCGTTATCATAGGTTCACACTGCCTTGTAGCACTTCGGGATTTGACTTCAAATTGAGTGCTGTTACAATGAAACCCATCCTTATATTAGCAAAATAGGGCCTTTTGANAGTTAAACAATGTAAGGATGCATTGCTCATGATTAACAATGTGCAAATAACAGCTACCATAGAGCAATGCCCATACAGCTGCCAGCCTGATGTGCTTAACACTCATTCATAGGCTAACTCACCAGTGAGCAGAAAGCAGTGGTTTCTATATGAACAATACAAATTACAAATAACCTTTCACAAACAGATATTTCATAACTGCTTACAGTAAGGAAGACATTTAAACTATTGTCTCACAGGCTGCTGTAAACTAAACACCACTCTCTCTGACAGAACACCTCACTGAGTGATTTAACTCATATGTCTCACTTTCAGGTTTCTCTTTTCAGCCGCAGACCCCACGTCGCCTCTTTATGTGCGTCGCTAAGTTCCTCGAACTACTTGTGTACTTTAAAGCGGCTCGGCATCGTTAACAATTTGCGAGCGATTTTTCAAGTTGACCGTCTGTAGTATATAGTGCCGCGCACATATACCATCAGGACGTTACTGAAGGGGTGAGGCTGCGGAGTGATACTGTGTGTATGCAAGTCCGCATCTAGGACGGATCTATGTATCATGGTTGTAGACCTGTTAAGTAATAAAGATACCTCATACAAAGGTCTACGGATACCTTATTACTCTCCATGACCTGCGGTCAACTATATAGCATAAATGACTATTACACCGTCTTTCTTGAACAATCCGAAGTGTTGCCAAACGTTTGATTTGTAGGTATTTTTCGGTGCGCTGTGTTTCTCTTTCTCAACTTCCGTGTGTGTTGATAACTGAGACTCTCGGCCTCCGTAGTGGAGAAGCAAATATCAAAGATCGTCTCTGCTGAGCGTTGACAAGATGAGGGGATTTTATATGAATGAATCGTTTTTTTACCGATGCAAGGACGCTACGCAATCGATGCATCGCGAGTTCAACCCAAACTGTAGCCGATGTGCACTCTTTCAACCGGTGCACTCGCATCTTGAACGTTTATGCCTGTGCACTGATGCGAATCGGTGAATCTTAACATCTCTAGTATACTTAGCTTATGTCTAATGTAACTATGATTTGTTATCCCCATTTTTTCCAGATCAATCAATAAAACAATGACCGTCTGTCTAATCCGTTGTGTTGATCTTCTATCCTTGAACTTTAGCCAGATACATATTCTTCAATCCTCCATGACATGCTGTGGGTTAAACAAACAATTCACCAATTCATGGTGTGATGTGTTGACCATGTAAAGGTAGCCACCAAATTAAGGTGACAGGGGAAAAATATTAAATATAATGTAAAGTAATGCAGTCAGGTATCTGAGTAGCCTCTCTCAATGAGCACAAATTAATTTACAGACCATCCATATGTGTTTCTGAAAGACCTCTGCACATTCCACTTATTCTGTGTTCTCTGAGATTTCAAGAATTAAGTTGCAATTCTTCAGAAACAAAGGCCATAATAAACAGACCCGGCGTCATGGGGCCATGGGGCCGGGCCCGCCCATCCAGGATTTGGGCCCGCAGTTTTAATCAGGGCTGAATACAACATTTTAATTGTTTTATTATTATTTTTATGGTTGTTATTTGTAGGGCTCTGTCCTAATATTTATTTTTGTTTTAAACTATGTTGAAAGATTAGTTTAATATCATTTTTTTATTTTGCTATGAAATTCTGAATGAAAGGCTGCGTGCGAGACTGGTTTTTCGCTGGGTTGAGTCGTGTGGGTTTTTGAGTGAGATGCGGCGCAGCAGCCTGTCAGTTTACTCTTGCTAGGTTAGTTTGGCTATTATCATTTATATTTATCTGCAACAATGGATATCAGGAAGTGGTTCATGAAAGGAATATGGTAACTCAGCGCCAGATGCAGGCACATTAGAAGACATCAATTACGTTACCAACGAGCTAGCAAGCCAGCCAGGGACAAGGGAGGCTGGCAATCAATTATATTTTGAAGAGAAATTGACTCTCAAGCCGGTTCTCTCACACAGGGCCGTATTCAGGATTTCCTAAATACCGAGGTCCAAATATGTTAGGGGGGTTCGGGGGATTATCATGATCTAGTTAGGTGCTTTTTAAGTCCTGTGGGGGGTCACACAATGGATAATATATTGATTTCAAACCATGTCAGTGGGCTCACAATGTCAGCATAAATTATTTTTGAAAGTGTAATGCATAAGAATCAGTTGATTGTTACTATTAATGATCTGGACATGCAGAAGAGGCTAAAATGATCACAAAACATTGTCAACATTCATTTTCCATGTCTCTCTCCTTTCCATAACCTGCAGCCTCTCTTCCATCTTCTTTAGTCTCTCTGTCTTCTTCCTGTTCATTACTCTCTCTGTCCTCTACTATTTCTCTTTGTTCAATCTCTCCCTCGTTGTTCACTTTTTGCTCCTTCTCACTTGTCGCTCCTGCCAGTGAATTAAAAGCAATTAAGCCATTTAGTTCATTTCACTTGTTTGCATTCTTTTTTGTATTTAAATCTGTTTTGTTTGATTCTCAAAAGGGAACAAATATTACCGAGGTCCGGAACTCGGTGACCTCAATGGTGGATACGGCCATGCATACCCCACCTTTAAATGCGCCATTCTGCAGGAGTACGTTTGATACTTAAAGTATAATGCTAATGTTTTTTTACTTTTACTTGGCTACAATTTGGAATACAGGATCTTAACCTGTAACTGAGTTACACCTCTGCCTATGTCAGGTACATATTTGGATTACCTGTGAAAACTGCACAAAATGTAGCTATATTGCACAAGTGAAGCAGTTTATATAAGGCTAATGACATGTCATATATTTATGCTATGTTTACTTACCTTTTCAGTAAGAGGTTGGTACGGCCTGTCACATGATATCTCGGAAAACAACTTGTGAAGAACTGTTGAGGAAATGTTGTTTTTATATCTGCTGCAACCTCCCTAGTTTTCACTTCAAGGGAGGATCGCGAAATTACTCGACTACTTTAAGTTTGCGGTTTCCCTTTGACGTAAACTCTATCTAAGCCAACGTGCTAATTCGCAAAACCTATTTCAACATATTAATCATTTTTAAAACACTTATGTTGAAAAAATCGCCAATTAAAACACTGTATTCATTCGTGATTTACTAACAATTTCTCGACAGTCCCTAATGCAGAAGCCTGGGTTTCAGTTTCATTTCTCTCTGAATCTCATCAAACAAGAAACTTATGCTGCGTTCATTTACTCGGTAGTGTCTTTCACTTCAGGATATGGGCAGTTTAGAAACCTATGATTTTTCAGGTTTCAATGCTTTAGGTTTTATGTTCTTTTTAAAGTAAAATCTAAACGCATATATTTTATAATACCAGAGGTTGAATGTAAATACATTACTTAAGTATTGCATTACAGTACACACTTGAGGTAAATGTGCAGCTATTTACATTAGAAAGTCCATTGAATACTACTTTACAATATATTGCTTCTAGTAGGTATATTGTTCATGTTATAATCATGTTATTGTTTTACTTTTGCAGCACTTGTTTTTATTTCTATTTGTATTTAATGCCTATTGTTGGCCCAACCATACAGCAAGTTTGAACTACTACTTAGAAGCTGTTGTGTTTTTAAACAATTGTCCGTTTTCCTCAATTATAACTGCCAATTATTTTCTGCAATTTCCTGTCACCAGATTGCACATAAATAGATTGTGTCAAATCAACCACTATCATGCCACATTCTTACACCTACCAACACAGTTATACACTATTTCACAGATGAATGCAACAGTAATAATTGCCCAACGATTTATAAATGGGTAATTTTTTGCAAAATGTGTACTTTTAATAGGCTACTTGCTAATTTATGATGGTCTTTGCTAAAATTGTAAGTAAATCCGTTGTTATGGATAACTTTTACAATTTGCATTAGTCCAGACTTTTTCTTCAATGTAAGGTTTAGTGAAATTTGGACTATTTAAAAATCGACATAAAAAATGCTTATTCGATAGAAACAGATAAAATACAAAGCATGTCCAAAACAAGTTATTTTGCTAGAAACCAGGCTACTAGTAAGATGAAGAACAAACATTAAAATAATGAGTATATCAAACATGATAACTGGAGGGTTGTTGTGTTAATGGAACACTGGTTGTTGACATGAGGAAAATACTTTTGAAAAGTTGTTTTCTATAACCAGATACATTTGCTGGATGATGACAGGTGAAATAATATGTAAATATATAAGATATATCACTGTAGTGAAAAGGCTGAAGAGTAACTGTATCATTTCAAATGGTTGATTCAGTTAACAGTTTGCAGAGCCATCTTGTGGTAAAAAAAATATATACAACAGTATATAAATACAAAAACACCTCTTTATGCAGGAAGTTTATCAGACAGTCCAATGAGAAAAGATGAGCAATAGGAATAAATACATTAAAAAGTCATATTGGTTTCCTCCGCCCCCCCCCCCAAAATACTAGAAAGTTCAACACGAAAATAAAAACGTGTTATAGGCAGTGTGTAAACTGTAAATCTAACAGTTTCACTTGATCTCTTTAGGGTTTTGTATCAGGATTTATTTCCTGTGTTACAATTTAAACATGGGATGTAATTGCAGCAATGAAAAATAGTTTCCAAACATTCGAGTGTTAGGCCTAAAATGAGATGGAAATAACCTCACCTGTAGATAAAAATGTATCCGTCAGTTTCCTAAATTCCCTGACTTTAGCAGAAAGAGATAATTGAACTGGTTTGGAGGCTAAGAGCAATATCCTGCATCAAACATAACATTGCTCCCCACCAGGCATGAGGCTGTGTCTCAAAGCGTCATCATCCTTAATTCGAACTCTCAAGCTGCAGGTTTCTTGATTCTCCGAACGACCACCCTCCTCCTCCTGCCTTGACCCCCAGCATTGAAGCCTGCAGCCCCCCCCTCCCCTGGCTGCCACCCCTGGGGTCTGGCTTCACCTCGGGGCTGTGAAGGCTTCCTTCCTGAGCGCACGTCGTCCACAAAGCCCTCCACTCCCTCAAACTTGACGGTGAGCTCAGAGAGGCGCTCCTTCAGGGCGTTGAACTCCCCGTACAGATCTCCCAGAGCGTCTGACAGCGGCTGGATCCTGAGGGAGGGGAATTCACTTTTATTACTTACAATAAAAGCTATTTTCACCCGCAATGAGGAAGTGAGAGGAACATATAAATAGAATACAATCACATTATTATAACAAAATGGGCCGCTTTCACAGACATGCAAGAGTTCCCAACATCTTTCCAACATTGTAGCAAGACACAATATTTTGTAGTGGATTTTCTGTCATCTTTTTATTGTTCTTTTGTGTCTGTTTGTAGTTGTAACATACAGTATCTCTCTGGTTTTGTGTATATATATATATATATATATATATTGGTAATTCTGTGTCTCTTTTGATAATTGTTGTGCCTTTTTGTGTTCATTTTATGTCTCTTTTCAGTCGTTTTGCATCTCAATCTGGTCATTTGTATCTATTGTCTTGTGTCAATTTGTTGTGGTCAATTTTTTTTATGAGTGAATTTGTGTCTTTGAGTACATTGCCTGTCTTTTTTGAGTCTTTTGTCATCATTGTGTGTCATCTATGTGGTTTTCTTGTGTTTCTTTCTTGTCATTGTGGTTATCCTTTGAGTCATTATGTGGTGTTCTTGTGTCCATTTGTAGGTATTTTATGTCTCTTTAAGGTCATTTTTATCTGTTCTTGGTTGTCACTTTGAGGGACATTTTGCAGGTGAAGGCCAGCAGTCCCCTTTGGGCCCCTGCTCGGTGGGCCCCTTCATTAACCCACCCATGCATCCTGGTTAAATGAAAACAGATTGGTCCTCACCGTCCATAGTCGGGCAGCACGGTGCTGTGGTCGTGCAGCAGCAGATCTTTGACCTGCGTCATGATGGCGTATTTCCAGTTGTCTAACACCAGCGTGAGGTTGGAACATGCTTTGGTGTTCACTTTCTCCGCTGCACACGCAAAGAACCACAGTGAAACACAAACCAACACAAATTATGATCATTAAATAACGTGCTTTTTGAATATGTTTGCTTGTGAAATTATTCAAAAGTAATTATTCAAATAATCCTCCGTAGTGGAAAAAGCACTTGAATCAAATATCTAATTATAAAAAGTTACCCAATGCATTATGGGTAAAAGCTCTGTATCCAGTTATTGAAAGTAGAACAATAGAAAGAAAAACACATAAAGAAAAGAAATAAGGAACATTAAAAGAAAATATATCATAGAAGGGAAAAAACATAACATAAGATAGAAGTATAAATTGTTATGTGTAAAATCTAATGAATCATCTGCAACTCTGGATATCAGTGATTTGCAGGTAAAATACATCTGGCTTTAGTGGGTTGAATTGAAAGGGTGATTTTCAGTTGGGATGTTAAAAAGACATCTGTATTATATTTAAAAAACAACATTAAAATAATAATATTAACGATAATAAAATAGTGGTCAACATTCCCGCATAGAATGCAATACAAACTGCTTAACATAAAAGGCAATAATTAGAAACAATTAATCACGGGTAAATACCATAAAATAGGATGCATTTCAATATAAAAAGAAAATATGAATATCTAGGAAACTTTATTTTTAGGAGAAAGCATTGTTATAAATATGTCTTAGGTTGCGTCAGAATTAGAGTCCTATATAATTACATTACATTACATTGCATTTAGCTGACGCTTTTATCCAAAGCGACTTACAATAAGTGCGTTCGACCAACAAAGTACAAACTTGAAGAAAACAGAATCATATAAGTACATCAGGTTTCATAGAGCTAGCAAGTGCTACTCAACTGGCTTTAGATAAGCCAGTTCTTTATTAGTATACAAGTGCTTTGTTAATAGTTCTATCGCTCGAAGTGGAGTCGAAAGAGATGAGTTTTCAGTCTGCGCCGGAAGATGTGTAAGCTTTCTACTGTCCTGATTTCAATGGGGAGCTCATTCCACCATTTTGGAGCCAGGATAGCAAACCCACGTGTTTTTGCTGATGGGAACTTGGGTCCCCCTCGCAGTGCGGGTGCAGCGAGCTGTTTGGCTGATGCAGAGCGGAGTGCACGCGCTGGGGTGTACGGTTTAATCATGTCCTGGATGTAGGAAGGGCCAGATCCATTCGCAGCATGGTACGCAAGTACCATTGTCTTGAAGTGGATTCTAGCAGTTACCGGAAGCCAGTGAAGGGAGCGTCGTGGTGTGGGAGAATTTAGGAAGGTTGAAGACCAAACGAGTCGCTGCATTCAGGATGAGCTGCAGAGGTCGGATGGCACATGCAGGTAGACCAGCCAGGAGGGAGTTGCAGTAATCTAGGCCAGAGATGACGAAAGCCTGCACCAGAACCTGCGTCGCTTTCTGGGTCAGCTGGGAACGTATTCTCCTGATGTTGTAAAGGGTGTATCTGCAACAGCGGGTTGTAGCAGCTATATTTGCAGTGAAGGACAGTTTGTTATCTACTGTAGGGTCACACCTAGATTCCTTGCAGTCTGAGTCGGGGAAACAATCGAGGTGCCGATATTGATTGTTAGGTCAAGAGTGGGACAATCTTTTCCCGGAAAGAAAAGCAGTTCAGTCTTGTCAAGGTTGAGCTTGAGGTGGTGAGCAGACATCCACTGAGAGATGTCAGCTAGGCAAGCAGAGATGCGTGCGACGACCTGGGTCTCAGAGCGGGGAAAGGACAGAATTAATTGGGTGTCGTCAGCGTAGCAGTGGTATGAAAAACCATGCGGGCTAATGACTGATCCAAGCGAGTTTGTGTACAAGGAGAAGAGGAGGGGACCAAGAACAGAGCCCTGAGGGACCCCTGTAGTTAATTGACAAGGGTCGGACTCGGACCCTCTCCAAGTTACCCTGTAGGTGCGGTCTTTGAGGTATGAGGTGAGGAGGGAAAGTGCAGACCCTGAAACTCCAAATTCTTGCAGAGTGCGAAGGAGGATCTGATGATTCACCGTGTCGAATGCAGCAGACAGGTCCAAAAGGATGATATATAATATAACATAATATTAATAACTAAAAATGACAAAAACCACCAGACTCAGTTTCTTCCCACAGGCCATAAGAAAATCAAACACCTGAGCTTGCTCTATTTCTATTATTGTTTTTAATATTTATTTTTGTATGTTTTGTAATTGCACTGTTGAGGAACTTGCGATCTCAGTTTTTAATACATGACATAACTACACCGTAGCATGTCATGACAATAACATCTTTGAGTCTTGAATCTAACCGGACAGCGTTACCTTAAATATCTTTAAAATGTCTATTTAGGAGCGGCCACACATTAAAATAGTCAATGCAATACTGTTAAAACATAGTAACATAAACATGAGTTTAAAGCACTTTGCGTCAAGTTTAAGAAATGTTTTCACCACGAGAGATTAAGGAATAAAATATGTTAAATTAAAATGATAAAAACTGAAATCTCTAAAACAATATGTGATAGTAAATGTACTTTATTCCTCACCTTCATTTCTGAAATCCCACTCCGGTCTCCCACTTATTTTCTTTATCTGAGCGGCACATAGAGCCACCGATAAGACGAGCAGAACTCCAGCAGTCTTCATCCTTAAACACACACACGTTTATTTAACTATGAAAAAAAACTGCATAATAATATTAGACATCCACAACTCCAGAGCTCAAAGTAAAAATGATGTGGAGAACCTACCTGCAGTGGCAGTCCAAAACGAAGTAATGAAGTACAAGAGGATGGAGGGTATATTCTCTGCAGAGGGGGAGGGTCTTCTTCAGTCTCCCCATCAGACTGGGCATCATAAATGAGGATCCACTTCAAAGTCTGCCTCAAACCTGTTCCTTCAGTCTGTTTCCTATCAGAACTCTCCTTCACTCCTAGTTTCAGCAACATTCATCATTTGTCAACACTTTATAAGACTGAGGGTATTTGATGTCTCTTTGTGATCATTTTGCATCTTGTCATAGTCATAATTTGCCTCTAGTCGAGTGAGACAATGCAGAACATGTCCAGATAAAAGACAGGAAAATGTATCTACAGTGTAGAAAGCTGCAATATGATCTGCAGAGGTGCTGGAAGTTTTACGGTCACGTCTAACTTACACATTCCTGTCCTTCATCTGTTATCCATCTGCAGCCCTGTGTGTGATGTCCAGGATCACCTCCACTGGACTCCACCTGATCACTAGTAAAACATCTGTTATGGCAGATTCACTTACAGGGAACTCTTCATGTACCCTGGAAACGATCAAACATTTACAGAGTATTGCGGTTGTGATAAAACGGCCATATGTGCACTTCAGGGGCTGCAGTAGCCTGTAATGTGTTCAAAGTGATTTCCCCTTGTTTGACTGATAAAAGAACGCTTTGTTCATTCTTTTTACGGATTCAAAATTATTCAACTAAACTGATAGAGATTATTGTGAACCATTACAATTTGTCAACTTAAATAAAGAAAAATACAAGTTAAATTGTCTGATTCCGTCTTCATAAATGTGATTACTTGTGAACAAAACAAGACATTTGAAGCCGTTAACTTGGACTGATTGCCATTGACATGTTATAGGCCAAAATAAGAATTGAGAAAATAATTTAACAAAGTGTTAGATGTTTGTAGATCGTAGAAGCACAACATAACACTCATTCAAAATGGTGGTACAAAAATACCAACTCGTTTTAAGGTAATTTAAAAACATTTTTATGTCCATCTGAGATCACTGATTTGTACAAATATTTATTTTGGTCACAATTCTTATTTTTCTAAGAATTGTGATCATCCTTTTTCAAGTATTTATTTTATGTCTTTTGATTTGATTGTCGTTCACTGATTGGTTATTTTCTACTTATTAAATGTGCTTCTTGTTGTCATTTAATCAAACTTACATGTTCCGAGGCATGCCTGTATGCTGCAGCATTAAGACTTCCCTTTAATAGAACAAAGTTATTTGTCCATAAATCATAAAAAAAGTCTTCATTTAAATGATGCCTTATTTTTTTACTTTTCCGATTGACATTAACAAATCAAAGACATTACCAGCAATACGAATTTGTTGTTGTTTTTTTATTATCATTTTGTTTCAAATCCAGGTCAACAGCATATAACTTTCTGTGTCCTCGGTCAGGACCGGCTGTAAGACCAGAGCATGCTCGCTCAGCAAACGGCCCGGATCAATACAAAAGGAAAAGGTCACCGCCGTCCGTTAGCATGACATCAGAGAAATCGCTCTTAAAAACTCACACGGGAG